GTATAATTAGTTTTCGTTAAAGTGAGCTCAGTTTCTGAACTCTTAGTGATTCATTTATATACAGAGATTTTGTTATTTCATATTGCACATTCAGGAAAACTTTGTATAAATGAGTGGCTTTTTATTTTCATATTATTAATAATATCATGGTCCCATTACAGGCCTATTAATCTCATAAATTTGTCATTAGTCTTTGAAGAAAAGAATATGTAAATACATATAAGTAATATGAGACTTTCTCTCAAAAGCAGGGCTTAAAATTTTTGTGGAAGTTTGATAAAATATATCATGTGAATTCAGATTTACCTCAATGCTAAGAATTATGTTTAGATAGGAAAAATGAATTTTATTTTGATCTCAGGTAGAAAAATAGTTATGTAGTTATGTAGCTTTATACAGTTATTAAAAGTTAGAATTTATTCTTCCCTACTAAAAGTGGTTTGGAAAATTACATTTGGTTTAATTATTGATGATTACACTGTCATTCTTTTAGCTTTGTGTATTGAACTATGTCTAGAATCAAGTTGATGTAAATCCTGAACAGTTTTGTGAGAATCTAATTGGATTTGTCACCTTTATTTAAAAACTAGCCTCTGCACACTTTGAACCTAGGGATATGGATTGGTTTGACCAATAGCCACTGCTTAATTCTCATAATTAAACTTTGTAATTAATTAATGGTATTGTTCTTTAAGATAGGTAACATGTTTCTGTGACTGTTATTTTGTGGACAGTAATTTCATCAGCTGCTGTTTAACAAATTGAATAAAGCAAAGGTCCATAAGTCAAGAAGCACACCAATGGAAAGCTGCTGTTAGCTCTTTTCCAATTTCTTTTATTTTTTATTTTTTAGTTGTAGTTGGACACAATGCCTTTATTTTATTTATTTTTTTATGTGGTGCTGAGGATCGAACCCAGGGCCCCACACATACAAGGCGAGTGCTAGATCTACCACTGTACTATAACCCCAGTCCCTCTTTTCCAATTTCTATTAGAAATATTAACAGAACTTTCCTTTCTGTGATGCATTTAATGTAATCATTATTAGTCTCATTCATTTGCACTCACTTTTATCAGTGACTAAACAGATGTTTCTGGGAAAGAAAAACCCAATACTGGAAAAGATACAACTAACAGGAATTTTCAAAGGGTGAAGAGGGAGATATTTAAATAAAGCAAGACTCAATTAGGTCCTCCCTCATAAAAGTGCTCCATGTCAGAAAGAGTAGTTTGCCAGGTGAAAGTGAATGTGTAAAGTAAGGTGTAAAACAGTGGAGATTGTACTATACTAAGGGTCCTTCTTAAAAGCACTAATTTTTTTTTTTAAACACTGTTTTGGCTGAAGGAAATAATTTGGAGGATACCACTGTACTGCTCCCACAGTATAATTGGTTTGAAGTGCATGTTAAGGCACCAATTGTCTGGATTTATACTTTAGCTCTTGCTGGCTGTGGTGACTCTAGCCTGTTCCTGTGCCTTAGTTTCTTTTCTGACTATGAGGATTAATGATTCCTACCTCATAAAATTGCAAAGCATAGAGTTTAATGCCTTTAAAGCCCTTATAATAGTGCTTAGTAAATGTAGGAATTTAATGAATGATAGCTGCTATTTTCTCTAGAATAGAGCTCTTTTTTGGTCAAGGGTCCATTTGTGAATTTGATGACAGACAACACACCCCTTTCCCCAGAGAACTAAACACATGAATGTGAATCATGCATATCTTGAAAACCTACTCATAGATCCCAGGTTACAAACTTTTCTACAGCTTCTGCTACTGAGAAAGGTGAGAAGTAAGAGTCCTAGAAATTAGGCCCATAATGAACTAGAAATGGAAGCTATTAACTTAAAGGCTTTTTTGGTTTTCTCCAATAACACCATCTGTGAACATTTTTTCCATTACTTTTTTTAAAAAAATATTTATTTTTTTAGGTGTAGATGGACACAACACAATGCCTTTATTTTTATGTGGTGCTGAAGATCGAACCCGGGTCCCGTCCGAGCGAGGCAAGCACTCTACCACTGAGCCACAATCGCAGCCCCATCCATTACTTTTTAAAATATTTTTATTTGTTGTTGATGGATCTTTATTTTATATATTTATTTATATGTAGTGCTGAGATTTGAACCCAGTGCCTAACACATGCTAGGCAACACACTGAGCCAGAACCCCAGCCCTTTTCCATTACTTTTGAAAGGTTAACACAAGCTCTCGAGTGTGATCACCTGGGTCCAAATTTTGATTAAATCATTTACTAGTTATGTAACCCTAAACATGATATTAATTTATAACTATATAGGAAAAAGAAAAAAACAGTATCTCCTACTGAATTTAATTTTTTTTTTAACAGTAATCTCCTTCAAGTTTCCAGTCTTGTAGTGACAGAGATTTTTATCCTTTACCACTGGGCCTATTTTTTTTTCTTTATTTAGTTTTAATTTATCCTTTGTTTCCATACTTCAACTCTATATTTTCTTTCTATGTCACATATGGATTATGAGTCTCCTGTTAAACTCTGTATCTCAGACATGTTATACTGATGTGTACTTAGACTTAACTTTTTAAACGGCTGTTTTCCCATAGGGCTCAGTGGCACATGCCTGTAATCCAGCTACTTGGAAGGCTTACAGGAAGATTATAAGTTCAGGGCCATCTTTAGCAATTTAGTGAGACCCTCAGCAACTTAGGAAGATTCCATCTCAAAAAAAAAAAAATAGGACTGTTGATATAACTCAGTGGTAGAGTATCTCTGGGTTCAATCCTCAGTGCTTTAAAAAACAAACAAAAATTTTTTAAAAAGCTGTTTGCTTTAGGTTACTCTTACTAAAATTCTAGATTATCCCAGTTCATATCAGATACACACACACACACACACACACACACATATATATATGATATGCATACATATCATATATATCTTGAGATATATGCATATATATTACATATATCTGATAATCTCTAATGCCTTATCCCGTAGTTATTTTTTATCTTTTTAATGGCAGCTTTAAGCCCATTCCTAAACAACTTAAATTTTAGTTTTATGCCTTATAGATGAGATAAATGGTATGATTTATTGATTACTTACTTTGTCATAGGGACTATACCAAGTGCTTTTATGTATCTTATACTTGAGAATGTTATATTTACTCTCATATTTACAGATGAGAGCAAATTGCTCAAAAAGCTAATAAATGGCAGCCTTTTATGGATTCAAACCTAAATCATTCTGACTCCAAGGCCCATGATCTTATTCAATAACCACTGACTTCCAAGCCAAGCTCTAAAAAATATAAGTGACTTAGGGCTGGTAGCCAAGATAGAATCAGGATCTCTGACTATAAATCAGACTACTCTTAGTTCATATTTTAGTCTAAGTCTTGCTCACTATTAACTCTGGGTATATTACTTTATAAATTCTCTGACCTCAAGTGGTTTAGTCTAGCAAGAAAGATAAATATAGAATATGAGAAGTGCTATAGTAGCAGATGGGAGGAACAGTTAATTAGATTTAGAGAAGAGGCTTAGACATAGGGAAGAAGGAGCATAATAGGGGCATTCCTGACAGAGCAAACAACATAAAGGCAGAGGAGAGAATGCAGCATGGGTTTAAGGAGCAGAATGATCTGATATGATTGGATAGGCAAATGAGAGTAAAGAGAGGGTATCTGAAAATAAAGTATCCAAATTGTGAAGGGTGGCAGTCACTGATTCTTACAGGGGTGGAGAATGCTAATCATTAAATGGATACATTTAACTTGTTAAAAATTTAAAGTATTTAGAGAAAAGTTAATCATTCAATGGATCAGGTAAGAATAATAAACATTAAGGTTTAGGGGTTTGTTGGTGGGGAACAGCTCCTCAATTGATACTGATAAATTGGCAACCCCTATCTGAGAAGGAGAAAATAACATGGGAAATAGAGAATACCCAGACAAAATTTAAAGTCAGAGACATTGCCCCATAAATAGTAAGCTCTTATGATTTCTTGCTTTTAAGCAAGGTTTAACATTACTGAGAACTGCCAATATATCCATGGCTAAGATAAAACTTGAGAAAATGACCAAAATAGTAGTTGTTCAAATGTTCATGTCGTTGACAATCTGAAATCTGCTACTTTTATACTTTCAGGTTCTGTTAATAAGCATGGTTCTAGTACCCCAAAATGTTAATTATCAGTCATATAAAGGCATTTCATTACTTCAGAAACCTGAACAAGAACATGAAACATTTCTCCCTAATTTACTTTCAGAGAACAAATGACCCTTTACATTTTAAAGTTGTCTTCTTCCTTTAAAGAATTAAACTTGCTTCCAGTCAAAGATCATTAAAAATTCTTTATTTAGTATATTGTCTCATTCAGAGAATAAACTTGATAAACATAACTTGTTTTAAAATATTGTAGCAATGGTTTCTTAAAGGTAATTTGATTAGTAGAGTTATAAATACAAAAAGGGGAAAGATTACAGAAATAAGACATAATTTTTAACAAAGCTTCAGGAAAATCTTCATTATTGAAATCATTTTTAAATCATATAAGTGTTGCATATACATTTTTAGCTCTTCAGAGCCCTCGACCAGTAAGGCACATGCAATAGTAAAGGATTTGCTACTGCAGCCTTGGGGAACCTCTCTTAGTGTTGTGTAGGTGCTTCTCTGACAAAGCACACTTGAACCAAGACAAACAATCATATTTATGTGCATCCTAAATTCTAAGTATAGACAACTAAACTGATGGACTAAAATAAAACAATAAATCCTTAGAGTAACCATAGCAACTCACAAATATGAATTTGATAAAAATATAAAGTGTTAACACCTAGGTGGAATGACAACTGACTTTTATGGAAGTTCACACTTTGAAACTAAACATAATCTCAAGCTGTGGTGTGGAGCTATTCTGTTACCAGGCAGCACCTCCTCACCATATAAATAGCAACTAGCTACTGGTTTCTTAAAGCCAAACTAATGATGGTTTTGAAGATAAGCATTGTCCATTGCCCTATCCATGAGTCAAAATGGAGGACTCTTCCTGTCTCCTGACTCCTTTTTTTTTTTTAGCTTGTTTGAGATAGCCCTGAAAAGGAAAAGAGATCATTGAGCGAAACAATCTCCTGGAGTGTCATCTCCTTACTGCAGATATCCTTGACAACAACAAGAGTCTTAGCTTCAGCCAGATTCCAACAGAGTTTCCATATCATTGTCCTGTAAGGTTCCCATGGTCCTGGAGAACATCATGCAAACTTCTTCTTGGTGGCTGTGAACCTCTCCATGTACTAAAAATCATGAAATAATTATATTATATATATATATATGGTATTTTGGCATGAGTAAATATAAGTTTATCTGTTACTTAGGTTTCTACATGCTCCTCCCACCCTGCAATTTTGTATTTTATTGGATTTGGTCCATTTCCTATTAAACCTACCTAATAATTTAAAGCACATGGTTTAAGTTCTAATTTTTTTTGTATTCTAATATGAAACATATCAGAAGATGATTTGCAATAAGCTGTCTATAAAGAAAGCCATTTTGGCACAATATCATTTTGCCAATTCTTAGAACCACCCTCAAAATTGGGAAGAACAAAATATTCATGTGGGTTACCTCAGCATTCTCTGGGTTAGTAACTATAAATGCAGAAGTATGCTACCACACAAATAAATACCTTATCATAGCCTTCTAGTTCTCGAAGTTTCTTTATTTCAAAAAGATTGCCTTCCACAGCAAGCAGACAGATCTGGGAATCACTGAGGATGCTCTGTGGAAGCATGCTGAGCTCAAGACAGTTCTCTTCCAGGCGAAGAACTTTAAGGCGAGGACAGCAAGATATCTTTACTGAGATCTGAGATATCTATTGAATAACAAAACAATAATAGGAAAAAGCACAAGCCCTCTAATGGTTACTTTTTACTACATTACAAAAACAAAAACCTTGATATTTGTCCCAGTTCTTTTACCACCTCCATTTTCTCACTACCTACTCACTACAGAAGCCTCAGTTACAGACCTTCTGTTACTAGTCCTCCACTTTAAAAATAAAATGCTTTTTTGAAGTTACCAGTGGCTTTTTGAGAATTAACACAAATTTAAACAAAAAAGTTACCTGTAATCTGCCAACCTTTTATGTGTAAAAATATACCAACTACTTTATTGCCAAAGCCAAGAATCCATCATTTACTATTGCATTTGACTGTTCCACTTCTTGTAGATAAGTACTTGGTTTTTCTTCCTATCTTTTGAATTATTCCTGATTATTCGTTTCCCTTTTTCCTTATGGACATTTTCAAGCAGCAGTCCCTAATACTTTATATTTCATATTCTCTTTCAACTTTTTCCTATGAAGTTCATTGTGTGTGTGTGTGTGTGTGTGTGTGTTTTGCTGGGGATTGAACCCAGGAACTTGTGCATGTGAGGCAGGCACTCTACCAACTGAGCTATGTCACCATCCCAGGAAGTTCATTTTTGAATTACCCTCACTTAATAATCTAAATTTTTTTTCTACATACATATTTACTCATCTCTATTCTACTTTTGTTTCCCACTTTCAGGAAAGCATTTCTTGTTAAATGATTCACCATAATCAACCCAGCATGTCCATTCAATTGTATCACTATTCCTTTAGGCCCTCAAACTCAATACCAAACAATTGTCTTTGACTCATTCACTGTTTAGCTCATCAAATACTCAAATTCATCAAATTTCATAGGGCTGGCACATTCTAGGCAAGTGCTCTACCACTGAGCTACATCTAGCCCAAGTCACCAAATTCTACTGACTACTTGGTATTTCAGGCCATCACCTGGATCATTGAGGAAACAACCTCCTTAGATCTCATCCCATCCTTCATAAATCAGAAACACTAAGGATAAAGGCCCAGAGATATCGTTAAACAAGCTCCCCAGGTTACTCTATATATACTAAAATCAGTGGGTCTAAGGCATCAGCAGAGGTCAATGTGTAGCAAGTCCTCAACTAATACCTATAGTTTAACTGATATTTTCCCCATAATCTCAAGGAAAAGGTGAGATAATCTCCTCAAAGAACTTAATTCATGAGTTGCTTAGCCCCTCACTTTTGCTGAGGCTGGCTTTGAACTCAAGATCCTCCTGCCTCACCCTTCAGAGCCTCTGGGATTACAGGTGTGTGCCACCGAGCCTGGTACCATCCCTCTTTAAAAAAAAAAAAATTTATTTTTTTTGAGATAAGGTCTTGCTAACTTGCCAAAATGGTCACAAACTTATGATCCTCCTGCCTCAGGCTCCTGAGTTGCTGGGATTACAGGCATATGCCACCACATCTGGCTAGTAGTTTGACTTTTGAAATTACCCTTACCCTGTTACCTGCTATGCACTCCCCAAAAAGCCTAGACAGCAAACACACCCAGTGTTAGTCCCCACTAACTCCATGGCACTTTGGGCTTTGAAACTGGTTCGGTTTATAGTATATCTCTCTCATCTAGCCTTTGATAGTCAACTCCATGATCACAGTTTTGTGAACAACAATTTATTAGGAGACCATAAACCCAAACATATGCTAGAAAAAAAACCCTAAAGTTCTAGACCTGGTTCTGGTTGAGATTGAGTTCGATGACCTGCAGCTCCCCCACGATGTCAGGTATACTCCGAATCTGGTTCTTAGAGAGATCTACCACATCTAGGTGCCGTAGGCTACAAAGTTGGGGTGGTAGTGCTCCCAGCTGGTTCCCAGAAAGGCTCAAGGTCTTGAGGGCAGAAAGCTGCCCAAAGGTAGATGGCAGCTCTCTCAGGTTATTGTTGTTTAGGCTTAGAGTGTCTAGTTTTTTCAGATTGCATAATTCATCAGGTAGAATATCTAGCAAAGAAAAAAATTAAAAACCTGAATCTGATAGAACTGAAAAAACACGTTTGATAAAGATTACAAAGACTCTGAATCAGTCTGCTTCACTTCTTGTTAAAACACAGAATTCCCACATGCACCACTTTTAGGTATTAAATTTTACCAACATGGTCTTCAGAAGATGAGTGTGCCATCAATATGCAGGAGCATTCCTGAATACAATGGGCACCTTTTACAAGGGGGATGAGGCACAATTCGACAACAATTTTGTGAGTTTTTGGAACAGCCTCCCTTTCCCATTCCATTTTCCCTTTTAAATGAGCTATTTTGCTTACATCACATCCCAAAGATCAATCATCATATAACCCAAGAAACCTTGCAGTGGAGGTAGAAAGTTTCAAGGACTCTTGTCATTCTGCATCGTGAGCCCTCTGAACAGTTCATAATGACGACAAAAAATAATCTTGTAAGAGAAATCCACCCTTTTTAACTTCTGATCACTAATAAAAACTTCCCAGGAGTAAAAAGCCATACTCAGTTTGTTGTTGTTCAGGGAGAGGCTCTTCAGCAAAGTGAACTTCCCTATCAGCAGAGGCGGTAGGCTCTCTATCTTGTTGTTGGACAAGTCTATGGTCCTAAGGTTGCTTGTCAGTTTCTGCAAATCTGAGGGGAACTGGAGAAAGGGTTCATAGCGTTAAGAAGCCCTCACGGATTAGCTTCTCCGCCCCCGCCGTCCCTCTGCCTGGTTTTATCTCTCCCAATCTCACCTCGGTCAGTCCACGGTCCTTAAGCTGAAAGACACCAGTTTTCTGCGCCGTTTCTACGTGAGCGCGGAGGGCACTATTTCCCATCCTATCACCAAGACTCTGGTCCCTGCGGGAAGGAAGCGCAGCTATCAGCGACCAACCTAGGCACACAGTCACCCCGTTAACCTCCTTTTGGGTCTCCGGCCCCAGCTGTCACCTCCAGCCGATCCCAGGATTCTGGGAGCCAGCCCGAGTGGCAAGGAAGAAAGAAAAACAGACCACCAAGTTCTGCTGCTTTTGCAACTGTGCTAAGGCCAGGCGCTCCTGAGAGCCTCTGGAGAACTAGGGACCCCGGGACTCGCTTCCTACAGCTCAGTAGGAAGAAGTCCCGGCTGGTGGAGACCAGAGACCCACGCTAGCCTGGGATGCGTTCCCAGGGCTTCCGCCCGGGCGGGAACGCCCTGTGATGTCATCGACCCGCGCCGAGCGTTCGTCGCGCTTTCGGCTCACTCCTGGCGCCAAGCGGGGAGGTGTGTTAGAATCATGGCTGCTGCCAACGCTTGGGACCCGGCTTCCGCGCCGAACTCCGCAGGGCTACTGTTGGGCCACTTCGTGGCTTCAGGGTTGGTCACTCAGGTGAGTGGGGCAACAATGGCGTCATCAAAGCAGGGGTGGCCATGGTGGCGACAGAATTTGGCTGTGAGGTGGTTGATGGTACTTATTGCGGGAGTGTTGAGGGTGCTGATTGGGGTGTATACCAGGATAAAGGCTGATTGATAGAGCCTCTTCTAGTTTGCAGCCGTGGCTTTAGTGCTGTGGATTCTTGGTAAACAGGGATCTGAGTAGGTGGTGTTTCGAGTAGACTGTTTGCCGGCAAATTATGTCAAGCCAGATTACGGCGGATAGAACAGTGTTGTCCTGTTTATTTTCATCCAGTGATACCGCCTCTAGAGTGTAGTATGCGGTGGGGTTGAGAAATAATGGTAGATAGTTAAAAGTAAACATTCCCAATATGTATATTTACAGGAAGTATTGAAGCAAATTTGGGGCAGGAGAGGTTGAGTACAGAGGAGCCCCAAGGGAAGTTCATTTGGGGTATCTTTTAAGGAAAAAAAAAAAAGCATTTGGTGGAAAAGACATAAAGGATTTTGAAACATGAGTGGAGGAAGGGATTAATTTTGAGGAAAGAAGGGAGATTAGCCCAAGGAATGATGATTTTAGGTTGGGCAAGAAGAGCATGTTCACAGCCCCAGGAGAAGGAGCCAGTAGAGGAAGAAATTGAACATGTGAGGGAATAATAGAATACAGGTGACAGGAGAATGAGACAAGTGGGAACAAGTGAATTGAAATTGAGGGAAGGAAACTTTGATATGAAAAGGAATTTCACTAAAAAGAACTTTGAGCCAGGAGCGGTGGCGCACTCCTGTAATCCTTTTGGTTTGGAAGGCTGAAGCTTTGAACCTCGGCAAAAATGAAGTGTTAAGCAACTCAATGACTCTCTGTCTCCAAATAAAATACAAACTAGGGCTGGAGGTGTGGCTCAGTGGTCGAGTGCCCCTGAATTTAATCCCTGATACAAAAGAGGTGGGGGGAGAGAAAAGCTAAAAAGATAAATACATCTGCAGAAAAATAGCAATAAATACAAACATGATGGAAGATATATGGAAAATCTCTCTCTTTTTAAATTCCATACTGGGTCTTGATTAGAGACTTGGGTCTTGAACCCAGGAGCAATCTACCTTTCAGCTACATCACCAGTCCTTTTTCAAAATTTTATTTTGAGTCAGGATCAAGTTTCCCTGACTGGCTTCAAATTGACTACTCTCCTGCCTTAGCTTTCTGAGAAGCTGAGATTGCAGTCTGTGACACCATGCCCAGTTAAAATATACAACTTTTTGTATTTAAAAGATTTGTTAGAGGTTTCTGATACCTTAAGGTGATTTGTTTGGTTGGTTGTTTTTGAAGTGCTGGGAATCAAACACAGGGCCTTTTTGTTGCTAGTAAGCATTCTATAACTGAACTACATCCCCAGGATCTAATTCTTTTAAATTAAGAAACTAAATTCTAAAAGACCAAGAAATTTGTCTGAGGTCATTCAACCAAGAAGGCAGAATTAGATCCCAGAGCTCTCCCTTTTCTGACACATTATATCATTTCTTAAGATAAACTGTGATAAAATATTGTGATACTTCTTGAATAAATTTTTTCCCCCTTCTGTACAGGGATTGAACCCAGGGGTGCTGTACCACTGTGTTTTATCCTCAGCCTTTTAAATTTTTTCTTTTGAGACATAATCACGCTAAGTTGTCTATGCTGGCCTCCAATTTACAATATTTTTCTCTCATCCTCCCGAGTGTCAGGGATTATAGGTGTATGCCACTGCACCCAGCTTCTTGAAAGATTTTAAAACTTATGTTAAGACCCAGTGTTGTGTTTGAGGGTTTTAGGTAGTGTGAGTACACCAGCTGTTGCAGGGACCAACACAGGACTCCACAGTTTTAACCCTTTCTTGCTTCTCTCCATCTTTTCTTCCTACCAAATTTGCCTACTACTCTCACTTGATTTGTCCAGTTCTTCTGTCACAAAATACTTTGGTAAACTCATAAGACATTTGAAACTTAATATCCTTCTAGAAAATGTGGGATAGGAGATATGACTGTCTATACCGAGAGAGTAAGTTGCTATTGAGAGAATTTTTTAAAATATTTTTTTAGTTGGATATGGACACAGTACCTTTATTTTATTCATTATTTTTATGTGGTACTGATTAACTCTTTAATCATTGACTTTAATTCTCATTTACCATATCAACTAGGACTTGTCAGTTTCATTTTGACAGGTACTCTTATCTCTGTCTTTCCTTTCCTTTTAAACAGCTACAGACCTAGCTCACATTCTAATGATCTTACCTGGAATACTATAGCAGCTACCTGTTTAAATATTCAACCTTATGCCCATCTCTCTACTTGTATTTTTGTTTTATATTGATGGCCAACTGTAGGGATTTCCTTTTTCCCTCTCTTTCTGTGTAAAATATACATAACTTTTATTAATTTAACTTTTTTCTTAAATATTTTTATTAGTTCCTTATAGTTATGCATAATAGTGTACATATAACTTTTGACATAATTTTACATGAATGGAATTTAATTTGCTCTGTTTCAGTCTCCAGTCCTTCTTCTTTCTCTCCTCTCTTCCTCCCTTTATTTCCCTTTCTCTACTTGACTGGTCTTCCTTCTATTTATTTTTTTAATTGATGCTTTATACGTATACATAAAGGTAGAATTCACTGTGATATATTTGTATGTGTACAAAGTCAAATTCATTCTTTATTTCCTCCCTTTTACCATCCCTCCTCTCTCTCCTCAATCTCCTTCCTCTATTCCACTGATCTTCCTTTTATTTTCATGAGATCTGATGCTTTTCATGGTTTCCTTTGCTATGCAGAGGCATTTTAATTTGTGCCATCCCACTTATTGATTCTTGGTTATATTTCTTGAGTTTTAGGGTTCTTGTTAAGGAAGTTGGTGCCTGTGCCACTATGTTGGATTTTTGACCTTTTATTTTCTTCTAGTAGTTGCAAAATTTCTGATCTGATTCCTAAGTCTGATCCACTTTCATTTGACTCTTATGCAGGATCTAGTTTCATTCTTCTACATATGGGTATTACTGGGTATTGAACCCAGATCCTCGCACATGCTAAACAAGCCAAGCATTCTACCACTGAGCTACGCCCCCAGCCCTTTGAACCTTTTTTTTTTTTTTTTTTTGTTTTTGTGTGTGTGTGTGTGTGTGTGTAGTCTGGGTTTTGAACCCAGGGGCATACATCTGAAGCCTTTTTTTATTTAAAAAAACTGCCCAGACTGGCCTTGAATTTTTGATCCTCCTGCCTTGATCTCTTGAGTAGCTGGGATTATAGGTAGGTGACACCATGCCTGACTATTTTAACCATCTTAAAATGTATAATCCAGTGGCATTAAGTACTTTCACAATGTTGTGCAATTATTTTCAAAACATTTATTACTCTCGATGGGAAACTATATTCATTGAACAGTTACTTTCCATTCTTTCCTTCCTCTGACCTTTGGCTTTTAGTTTTCTTTTTCATAGTACCCACCATTAAATTTCTAAAATATATATTTCATATAAGACCATGTTACTGCTTCACCAGAAAATGTTCAGTTGTTCCCATTATCTGCATTATGATCATTTGGCATAATCCTCAATGTTTTCTATGATCATAAGGAAACTATGTTTCTAGTTTCATTCTTGCCTTACATGTATATTAATACCAAATGACAGTTGTTGAGCATTTATGTTTCATTCTTTGTATCTAAAATACCTTTTTTTCCACCTCCATCATGAGCCTTTTTTAGGGGGAGGGTGGTACTGGGATTGAACCCAGGGATGCTTCATCACTGAGCTATATCCTCAGTCATTTTTATTTTTTATTTTATTTTTTTTATTGTGAGACAGGGTCTTGCTAAGTTGTATTATATTGCTGAGCTGTCCTCAAACTTGGGATCTTCCTGCTTCAGCTTTCTGAGTCACTGGGATTAAAGAGATATGCCATTGAGCCTGGCATTATGACCCTCTTGAAAGCAAACAGCTTGTTTGATTCATCTTTGTATCATCCATTGTGTACCTTAATAAGTGTTTCTTAAATTGATTATCCAATTTTTCCTATAAAGGGCCAAAGAGTATTTGAGGCTTTATAGGCCATATGGTTACAGCTATTCACTAGGCAGTTTTAGTATAAAAATAGCCAGAGGTAATATATATGTGAATGAGAGAATTTGTGTTCCAATAAAATTTTATTTCTAAACCCTTAAATTTACATGTCATATAATTTTCTTGTTTATAGAATATCATTTTTTTCTCTGCTGCCCACCCTCTGCAATTTGAAAATATAAAAACCATTCTTAGTTCAAGAGCTGTAAAAAAAAATAGGCAATGGTATTGCATTTAGTTTCCTAGTCCCTGGCCATTTATAACTTCTAAAATTCTTTCCTCTGTTTCTTCTTCCCCACCATTTTTTTTTTTTCTTTTTGGATATGTAGTCTTATCATGTTGCCCAGGCTAGGTCTCAAACTTGTGATCCTCCTGTTTAAGTCTCTTTAGTAGCTGGAATTATAGGCATGTACCATTGTGCCTTGCCTCTGTGCTAACAGTCTACAAAAGAAGAAAATATAGAAAATTATTGAGGAAGTTGGGGGGTGAAAAAAATAACATCTATACTCTGAGGTAACCTGCACTTAAGAGGACAGTGTAATGGAATTACAGAATGAAAAGATTAAAAAAGAGTAGTCCTTATAGAAAAATCATTATACTGGGACATAAATATTCCTTTATGTAAGAGAATACATGTGAACAGAGACAACATGCATGACGGGTATACAGTTGATGTCATTAGATGAATCATAAATTATTCCATGTGGCAGGGTTTTTGATTTTCAATCCAGAAGGTCAGAGAGACTAGGCTTGGTTCATTTGGATGGGCAGAGGTGAGTTTCCAAAAACCTCAGCTTATCTTCTAATAAGTTATTAGTAATGTAAATCTATTGTATATGGTACCTTAGGAAATAGTACAATACAAAGTGATTGTACTATTTCATTTTTTAAATATTTGTGCAAGAGATTTATAACAATAAAGTTTCTAAAAACAGGAAATATACATTACTACTCTTTTTTCTCTACCTTTTGTTTAGGGACTGGGTTGGACACAATATGAATTTTCAGTCCCATGGGCATGCTCTTCCATGTATACAGAAACTTTTTGTGACATACTACTGTTTTCCTGTTTAATTACCAATAGGAGATGTTAAATATATCTAAGAGAACAGCTCCTTGCTTTGAGAAATTCTCCAGACTACAACAGATCACAAATATTCAAGCTGAAATCTATCAGGTAAATTATTATTTTTCTTTTTTTAATTATTACTTTTCTACTTATTCAGAAAAAAAGAAAAATCCCAGATAGGGTTGTAGTTCAGTGATAATGCAAGTGCTTAGCATGTGTGAGTTCCTAGGTTCAATCCCTAGCACACACCCCCAACCAAAAAAAAAAACAAAAAAAACAAAAAAAACCACAACCTTACAACCTTAATTGATTCAAATAGCAGTTCTCTTGCACTTAGAACAAGTATCTAGCACATAGTTGGGTAAAGGTTTATAGCAATAGTAAAAAAAAAGTAGTAGTAGTAACAGTTAAAGTAAATATAACAGCAGGAGGGCAAGAACACCAAAATGAAAAGCTTTAGTAAATTACCTGCACTTTTATATACATACATCATCCTCCCATCTCATTTAAGGAATATACATCTTGTAGCATGTTTCTGAGCTAAAGATTGTTCATTCTTAGCTATTTTTGATTCCTCAACTTCAGGATACTTTCTGAGTAAGCTAATGTTACTTTTATTCCTAATGTAGAAAAGCCTGGAAATTGAACTTCTGAAACTAGAAAAAGATGCAGCAGATGTTGTTCATCCTTTCTATTTGTGTAAGTGGTTTGTTTAAGTGGGTAATCATTGGAATTTAAACTTTTTCTTGGATTATAGTAAATAAACACCAGGCAGCAAAATTGTGATGTGCCAGTTTTTCCAGCCCCACTGCTAACGAAGTCTTCTATTTTTGTGCTTAATTACAAGTCCTGTAGACTTGACTAGTGCAAATAGCATTGGAAGGAACTAGGTTGGCTGCTTTATTCGTTTTTTTGTTAGTATAATTTGTTAATGAGGCTGAGAGTAATGTATAAAGAAAAGAGATTTATTTAGTTCATAGTGCAGAGGCTCAAGGGTGGCATTGGCATCTGGTTAGGACCTCATGGTGAATAGCATCACAATGGCAGAGTACTTGGCAAGAGGGAGAGATCACATGGTGAGATAGGAAGCCAGAGAGTGATTCAGAGGTCAGTCTTGCTCTAATACTTCCAAGGGAACCACCAGTAATTACTTAAAGTGACATGATAACTGAAGCACTGAATGAATGGATTGAATATTTGATCAGAAAAATTTTTTTGATATAAAGGACATTATCAGAACACTTGGTAAAGTTTAAATATGGACTGTATTAAATATTGGTAACATTGTATCAATGTTAACTTCTCAAAAAAATCTCTTAATTTATTAATGTACTATAAGTTAGGTGTATATTGTGCATGGGAAACATCTTTTTAAGGGTAAAAGATCATGCAGTCTGCAATTTATTCTCAATTGAGGCCTTTTGAGAACAAAAGATAGAGGTGAGTGTGTGGAGATAGAAAAAGGATAAAAAAGAAAATATAACTAAATATAGTGTCTAGGTGATATGTATATAGGAGTTTACTGAACTTTTTTTTTTATTGGTTGTTCAAAACATTACATTTGACTCAATTAGGTTATGAACTCCCATTTTTACCCCAAATACAAATTGCAGTATCATATCGGTTACACACTCACGTTTTTACATAATGGCATATTAGTGACTGTTGTATTCTGCT